TCTGACCTTAGTGATTACACCAATGGTCCGATACCCTGCAAGAAGAAACCTTTGTATATAAAAAGAGTCTCAGAAGCATCTAAACTCACCTAGTAGAAAACTATATAGTATGAACATACCATCAGGATCAGCATTTCCAGCTATCTGAAGAGCATCTGAGTTAGCTAAGTCAGCATTAGCAGGTGTTACAGCCAATATTAAGCAGCTCGGAAGTTTAATATACGACATTATCATTGTTCTGATCCGGGCTTCAATATCAGAAGGCTGATCACCAACAGGCACCTTTGTTATGCCCGGCAAATCCACAAGTGTAATATCAAGAACATTCGGTGAGAAAATTTTCAAACGTATCTGTTTATCTGAAACACCTCTATTCATGCCTGCTTCCCGGTCTGTCTCCGCCTAAAACCAAATCATAAAGAATTCGCAGTTGGGAACAATGTTATTAAATGCCATTGCTTAAAGCGATGAAACGACACAAAGCGAGGAGTTATTGCTTTATAGGTGAAGCCATGAAGCTTCATAGAAATGTGTGCTTCAAACCATAGCACACAAATTGATCCAAACAAAAAGTGACCATTTCTTTGAAGTTCAACTTTGAAGAGTTGGATTAATATCAACATTATTGCATACTGAGTGTTGAAACTAGTTATTTTAATTGCGATTTGATTATTTAGTACTAAATCCATACATGTTTGAATTTTATAGCATTTCACTTCTCACTTTTCCCATCAAGAATCAAAGGATCTGGTCGCTTTTTCGCTTTGCTTTTAAAAACATTAATTGGGAATGTGAAGAAATTACTCAAGTCCACGCAAAAGTAAAGGTATTCAAATCACTAAATAATCGGCATAGTATATAAAGAAACCACAAACTAGTATTTTAAGTCATAATGTATAAGATTTAGCATGGCAGTTGCAGCATCGACTTCTCAAACACAATGATAGATAGTGTAATGCTTTAAACATTTTGCCGTAAGCCTCATTGGAAGTTTATACAAGGTGTAGACTACAGTTCATCACTATACATGAATCTCCCAATGAATTTCATCGAAACAAGCTCAATATACTAACATTCAATATAACCTCGTTGGAAGTTTCTACAAATCGATAACACTGGATAATAACAGCAGATTACCTGAATCTCCCTACGAATTTCATTGAAATCAAAGAATCGCTTGCCAGGAAGGTGCAAAAACTCTCCCCATTCCTCTTCAGTTCCATCCGGCTTACGTTTGGTCTGTATAAGCTGCAGAACGAGCGGGCGCCTAGTACAGATGTCAGAACCCCTAGGCAAGAAATCGCGACCGACAAGGGCTTCCAGAACACTCGATTTGCCGCTACTCTGACTACCAACGACAGCCACCTGAGGCAGCTCGATGGTGGACTGACTACCGAGCTGTGCGAAGATGTCTTGGAGCTTGTTCACTATAGGAATCACTGAGTGACCTAACGGCGCCGTATTGGTTGACGAGGGAACTGGAACTGCAACTGAATCTTCCGCCATGGAAGTGAGTCAACGCGGATCGAGTTGAGTAAGATTGTGATGATGTTAGTGTGTGGTTTAGTGGGGGCTTCGGGAATGGAATGGAGTTGTAGTGAGATCGGTGAGACGGAAACCCTAGAGAGAGAGAAGCTTTGAAGGGTATGAGAACTGTGGAGAGATAAACGAGTTTGAAAAGCTTTGGGAGAGAGATAGGGGGTGGTGGTGTTGGGGTTGTGGTGCATACTCTCGTACCGCCCAAGAAAAGGGAGAGAATAATTAATTGGGGTTTTGTTTTTTGAATTTGAATATGAATAGCATCTCTTTCTTTTGATAAGACTAATTTATACTACATAACACATGGGATAAAATAATTCCACATTTGATGGGATAAGTGCCACGACCCTAAAACGGACCCGGTTGTGACGACGCCTATCGTGAAATTAGGCCAGCCAACACAAACCCCCAAACCAACTAAACAGTTATAATAAGTCATTTAAAGTCATTAATAAGCTATAAATCCCAAAATATATAGTAGAATAGAACAGTGCAAAAACAAACACAGCCCGACATGGGGGTGTCACCGGTCATGAGCATCTACAAGAGTATGAAAAGACAACATAGTTTGATACAAAGCTAGTACAAAGTGAAATAAAGATAGGAAGGAGAAGCACTGAGCTGCGGACGCCGAGCAGCTACCTGGTTAACTCCGAACAAGCCTTTTGGAAGGCAAATCAGCACTCGCTAGCGTGACCCGAGACTCCTGGATCTGCACACAGGGTGCAAGGAGTAATGTGAGTACGCCAACTCAGTAAGTAATAAAAGGAAAGGCACCTGAGCGATAAGAAAATATGTAAACACAACATAATGCTACAACAAAACAGTATAAATCCAGAACAATGCAGTAGTTCAATAAAAGCTCGTAAAAACACCTTAGCTCAGTGAAAACCTCTTTAAAACATCTTTCAGAAATTCAAACGAGTGATGAAAACAGGTAGAAAAAAAGGATAGAAACATAAATCAGCCCCTCGGGCAAAATACCAACAGAACCAGCCCCTCGGGTTACCTTACAATCACTCGTATCAGCCCTTCGGGCAATAACATGAAACAACAACAGCCCCTCGAGCAGTATTACATCTCACACTGGGTACCTGCGCTCATTGGGGGTGTGCAGACTCCGGAGGGGCTCCTACTGCCCAAGCTCTATATCAAGTCTTCTCATGGCATAATCAAACTGGCCCTCGCCCTCATAATCATGAATCAGTACACACTGCTGCGGCGCGCAGCCCGATCCCATAATATCCTCACAACACAAGCCCTCGGCCTCACTTAGTCAGAAATCTCTCAAGCCACTCGGGGCAATAGTAAAACATGATGATCAACCCAAAATATCATTTGAAATGTCAAAAACGGAGTAAATATGGCTGAGTTATGAAAACAGTAAAATACAACATGACTGAGTACAAACATGAAATCAAAGTAGTGAGGAATGGTAGTAAAAATCGCCTAAGGGTCCAGAACAGTTGGCACGAGTCCCAAATATGGCATTCAGCCCAAAATATGATAATACTTTCTAAAACACAATGATAGCAAACAGTTTTCGATCAAATACGCGGTTTAACAATCATACGGGGCGGACTAAGTCACAATCCCCAGCGGTGTACGACCCCACTCTCGTCATCTAGCATGTGCGTCACCTCAAAGTAGCACAACAATGTGAAATCCGGGGTTTCACATTGTACGACCCCACGCTCGTCATCTAGCATGTGTGTCACCTCAAAGTAGCACAACAATGTGAAATCCGGGGTTTCACATTGTACGACCCCACGCTCGTCATCTAGCATGTGTGTCACCTCAAAGTAGCACAACAATGTGAAATCCGGGGTTTCATACCCTCAGGACAGCATTTACAATCATTACTTACCTCTATCTGATCCAAACTCTAGCCCGCAATGCCTTTGCCCCTTGAATCGGCCTCTAGATGCTCCAAATCTATCCAAAAACAGATTTATACCATTTTACATCAAAAAACCCGAAATTGGCCAAACCCGACCCCCGGGCCCATATCTCGGATTCCGACAAAAATCATAAAACTAGAATCCTTACACTCTCATGAGTTCATACATACCAAGAATACCAAAATCCGACCATCAATGACCCCTCAAATCCTTAGATTTAGGTCTCCAATTCCAAGCCCTAACTTCCAATTTTAGGCTTTAGATTCCACAAATTTCATGTTTAATTAGGTAGAAATTACAATAGGATCGAGTATTAAGTCCATAAATCTTACCTCCAAATGTTTCCCTTTGATTCCCTCTTCAATATCCCTCAAAAAGCTCCAAAATCGCTCAACAATAGTGAAATTTGGACCCAAAATCGCGGAAGTGGTCTTTTAAACATTCTACCCAGCACTTGAAATCCCTTCTTCGCGAAAGCGGTCAACGCCTCGCGTTCGCGAAGCACAAAATTCCGTTGACCACTTAAGTCTTCATCGTGAACGCGACACCCTGTATGCGAACGCGAAGCTTCAGCTTCCTAACCCATCGCGAATGCGACACCTAGCTCGCGAACGCGAAGCACAAACGACCTGGACCCAACTGCTCCTATTTAGTCTACTCAAACGCGGCAAAACCATTGCGAACGCGATTAACACAGACACCAGCCCTTCGTGAACGCGGGGCCCTCATCGCGAACATGAAGGCCAACTCTCCTGCCTCACATCCTAACCCTTTCCCGAACGCGAGAGCACACTCGCGAACGTGAAAGCCAAACGTCTGCAATACCAACAACAGTTTTTCTGCAACTTTTTCCAACATGAATTGATCCATTCAACTACCCGAAACTCACTCGAGGCCCTCGGGACCTCAACCAAATATGCCAACGTATCCCATAACCTCATTCAAACTTGTTCCAACCTTCGGAAAGCTCAAAACAACATCAAAACACCAAATTGACATCGGATTCAATCCTAAGAATTCCAAAAACTTTCAAATTCCGCTTTCGATCAAAAAGTTTATCAAACCTCGTCCGAATGACCTAAAATTTTGTACATACGTCACGAATGACAAAACCTACTCCAACTTCCGAAATTCTATTCTTACCCCTATATCAAAATCTAACCTATCAACCGGAAAACGCCAAAATTTCAATTTCGTCAATTCAAGCCTAAATTTCTCCGGACCTCCAAAACCATTCCGATCACGCTCCTAAATCCCAAATCACCTTCCGAAGCTATCCAAACCATCGAAATTCACATTCGAGCCCTTTCTCACATAAGTCAACATCCGATTGACTTTTCCAACTTAAGCTTACTCAAAAGAGACTAAGTGTCTCAAACCTTACCAAAACCTCTCCGAACCCAAATCAATCAACCCGATAACACATAATACAGCCGAACAAGACAATAAGAAGCAGAAATGGGGGAAACAGAGCGGTAACTCATGAAATGATCGGTCGAGTCGTTACAATAAGGTGGGATAACATGGGAATCTGGGATTAAGTCTGTAATTAAATTATACCTTGTTTGATTGGAGGTATAAATTTATTCCAAGATAAATTTATACCATCAACCAAACACAGTATAAATTTAATCCTGCATCTTATCCCACATTATTCCATCTTATCCCTCATACCAAACGACCCTTTATGGTTTATGTTAGGTTAGATTAGAAGCTTCTGAGGGTGAAAATAACACAGGCTAGCCAGTGTTCGATCTAGTAATTAAAAAAAAAAGCTAACATTTGTAAAATTACTAAAAAGTAATCACTATTTTGCTGAAATAAGGAAAGTTTCAGCATAATATGCTGGATTATGGAGTTCATACGTATAAACTTTTAGCATATTATGTTGGAACTGTAGCACAGTATGTTGGAATCTCATATGTAAAACATTCGAACTCCAACTTATTATGCTGAAAATTTTTCGGATTTTAAAGGGTGTTTTTGTTCAGATTTTATCTTTACATAAAAAAAATTACTAAATTTCGATTATTTTTGAAACTGGTTCTATTTTTCAATTACCAATTATAAATTTGACTATTTCTAAAAAAAATCCCATTCCAAGGTGGCGAAAGCCCTTTATGTGGGTTATTAACAATAAAATTTCATTCGTCCTAAAATTTTATTTAGGCTTAATTCTTATATACTTATTGTGAAAAAAAAAAATTATAATGTCCATTCACCTAAAAGATAATACGTAATCATTCATATAAAGTGATTTTATAAATTAGAAAATAATACAAATTACTTATTATAACAGATTAAAACACATTGATAGTGCGCAAATTTTCTTTGTCAATATATATCAATTAAAACTTTTTTAACGCCAAAGTAGAAAAATTTAAAGTCGCCACGACCTAATTTGCTCACTCTCAGATCGTAAGATATACCTCCAAATTATAAAGGAAACTTCACAAAAATATACCAACAAATAAAGTTATTAGCACAATTTAGCCACAAAATATCATTTATCATTTTTGGCCAACAAAATATTACCATTTACATACAACATTAAAAAGACTCATAAAAAATTTGAATAGGTGTGGTTGGAATTTATTGAAAATGCCTTTATAGCGATGTATAAAATTTAAGTAAGATTAGAAGTACTTTGGACTGATTTAGACTCAAATTTCGTAATTAAAATCGAGATGGAAAAACTTCAATGCAAGACATGTGTATTCATTAATATCACACACATGTATAAATAGATATATAGAGGGATATACAGAAATACATGGGGAATATGTAGATATATATGGTGGATATACATAAAAATATGTCTGGTTCTGCGGTCCTTCGCCGCATTTGCGATTCTTTAGGCGCATATGCGGGCATCGCAGATGCAGTACTTCCCTCACACCTGTGATCCCTGGTTAAGCCTCCAAACTCCGCATCTACGCCCTTCACTCCGCACGTGCAATCCAGCACCTGTGGTCTCCCCACTACAGGTGCAAAAACACCATAAGTCTAATCACTTCAGCAATAACACAACTTCAATTTTTGATCCGTCAAGCACCCGAAGCCCCCGGGACCTCAACCAAACATACCAACTAATCCTAAATACCATACGAACTTAGTCGAGCCCTCAAATCACATCAAACAACACTAAAATCACAAATCACCCTCCAACTCAAACTTAAAGAACTTGAATCTTTAAAATTCTACAACCGATGTCGAAACCTATCAAACTACGTTCGAATGACCTGAAATTTTGCACACAAAGTCATATTCAACATTGCGGACCTACCCCCAGCTTCTGGAATCGGATTCCGACCCCGATATCAAAAATTCCACTACCGATCCA